TTGCGCTGTCCAATCACCCCTTCCTTCTGTGGTGATAGCAGCACCCCCACATGGCCCTGCCTGGTCCCCTTCCCTCTGTGGTGGTAGCAGTGCCCCCCCACCATGGCCTAGCCCCTAGCGCCCCCCCCCAACTTCCCCTCGTGGGCATAGCAGCACTCCCCTACACGGATGGCAGTGCCACCACCCCCATGGCTCCTCACTCCCTTCTCCCCCCCATGCAGATAGCAGTGTCCCATGCCCCTCTCCACCTGTGGCTAGGGCCTTAAGAGCTCTTTTTCCTGTTTCAATCTCCTTTAACTCCTAACGTTCTGGATGGAAGGGGCAACTGGGCACCAATGTTGGGGGAGCCCTCCTTCAAGCTCCTGTGGGTGGAGTGGGGATCCGGCCCTGCAGGTGCTGAGCAGTCAGTAAGATTTGGGCAGCTCTGCTGTGGTGGGGTGGTCTTGTCATCTGTGTTTGGGGCCTTGAGCAGCAACTGTGATAGCAATTATTATTTGTAATAATAGTCATAGTCTTCTGGCCCAGGTAATCAGGCCAAGATCTCTTGCAACTGTTGTGAGGTTGCACAGGATGTTGCTGGTGTTTACTTCTGACACCACTGGGGTTTAATCCTCCTCTGCCCCACAAAATGGAGGGAAAAGCCCTAGTTTGTTAATGTGCTGGAAAATCATCCCATTTCCTTCCTATCCTTGTTTCTATTCATACCATAAATAAGACAATAAGAACTGTAGTTAAAAGAAAGAGCAAGTAAATTTGATGAGGATAGTAACCTGATAGTACCAGGCTCCTCTTGTAACACTTATTCTTTTTTTGATTCTCAGGAAAGCCAGAGCTAAAGTCAGAAGTTGGCATAATACTTTGTGATGTCAGTGACCCATCCTCCCTTGCTGATATGGCTAAACAGGCAGCTGTTGTTCTCAACTGTGTAGGCCCAGTAAGTATCAGTCTTCTAAGTATCAGAAACAAAATGGACAAACAAGCAATTCACATGCTGTTACAGACAAAAGGCGTTGGTATACTGTAAACATGTAGTAACTGAGTATGCGGTCTTTTAAGATCAAAACACGAGCTGTGAAACTCTAAAAATTAAATATAGTTTCTTGAATAAATAAATATTAATGAGATTGTGCTGCTGCTTCGGACAGTACATTTGGAATGGCTGCTTATTGCACGTGACGGATTGCACCATAGTTGCATATGTTTTGTTTAGAAAATAAAACCAGTAAAGGCAATTTAATCTACTTAATTATTGTTTTGCATTAATACTAAAAACAAATTTAGATTTATCATGTGCTCCACTCCCCCATTCTACGTGTCTTGGCAGCACCTATCTTCCAGCTCTTGCCCTTTGATCTACTGTGGATGAGTTGGCAGAGGGAATTCTGCAACTCAAAATTTAAAGGGATACTAATAACTAAGAATCAGACAACTATAATAGGTAACATTTTTCAGACAGTACTAACCACACAGATGTCTACATCTGAAAGATTAAAGCAAACAGTTTTTGTTTTCTGTTTTGACAGCACTTCAGGTGTGTATTGAATTTGAATGTTTCCCCAGTGTAATTAATTTTCCTTGTTGTTTGTGTGAGTCTAACAGCAATAGAAGAGAGAACATTTTCATTGAAAAATGTAATGTAAATCCACAAAAACTGGCTGAGGAATCTGAAATAGATGTAGTGCCTGAAACTACTTTGAAGTGTTTGTCTTTTAGATAACCAATTAAATTTCAAGTTGATGGTATCCCTTTAAATGCCCCCAAAGAATGAGTTCAAGAATTTTAGGTCAGCATAGGGCAAACTCTGTTGCATTTTGTTGACATATCCTAACAAATGGTAATGCCCAACCTACTGTGATAATTTGCTCCATTTAGTAAAACTGTCTGTAAAATATTTGCTTTTATTGCACATTTGCCAAGTAAGATAAATAGCTTCCTTTTCTGTTTATAGTACAGGTTTTTTGGAGAACCAGTAGTGAAAGCTTGTGTTGAGAATGGCACAAGTTGCGTTGACATCAGTGGAGAACCTCAGGTATGTGACATGAACAAATGAATGAATTACCGCTTGAAAACATCAGATGAATAATTTAGTAAAGACAGTTTTATTGAATATATTTGGGTCACATCTTTAGTTCTCACTGATATTCCTGAACAGGAAAATATTTTTCAGTCTCTAAGCTGTGATTTTAAATGTGTTCTTAGTTTCCCTTTCTTACTCTTAGCAACAGTCATTAGAAACAGTATGGGACTGAAAATTAGGAACTCATGAATTTTAAATCCCAACCTTGACTGTGATGTCATCTGGGGGTTTCATCTTTTGCATTATTTTCCAAACCATAAAATAGGAAAACAAGTAGTTAATATTCCTACTTCACAGGAGTGTTGTAAGGATTAGTTCATGTGTATAAAATGCTTTGAGTACATATAGCACTATATAAGTGCTGATTAATAATACTGGGTACAATTTTCAAAAGTGCTCAGGTGATTTAGGAGGCTAAATTCTACTTTCAGAAATGATGTTAGCTAAATCATTTGGGAAATCTTGAAAATTCAAAATTAGTAAAATGTCATATCTTCTGGTAGGTTCCCTAGATATAGATTGTAACTTTTCTATAGGATGGGTTAGTGGTCTATGCTACACATGTGAAATACCTCAACTCGCTGGAGATTCAGGTTCAAATCTTGGTAGAGTTGACTCATGAAAGTGTTTTAGAAGAGACCTTTAAAATGTAATTCCTTTCTGCTGTGTGTGTGCGCATTAAACATTCCATGTACACTATTTTTAAGAATAGGGATTTGCTCTGATGATCTTGATTAAAATGCTCCCTCCCTCCCCAATTGAGCAATGTAATACACTAACTCCTCGCTTAAAGTTGTAGTTATGTTTCTGAAAAATGTGACTTTAAGCGAATCCAATTTCCGCATACGAATTAATGTAAATGGGGGGGGGGGGGAGCTTAGGTTCCAGGGAAATTTTTTCACCAGACAAAAGACTAATATATATATATACACACACACACAGTATAAGTTTTAAACAAACAATTTAATACTGTACACAGCGATGATGACTGTGAAGCTTGATTGAGATGGTGAAGTAAGAGGGTGGGATATTTCCCAGGGAATGCCTTACTGCTAAATGATGAACTAGCACTCGGCTGAGCCCCCAAGGGTTAACACGTTGGTAACATAGCCGCACACTCTACAAGGCAGCACAAATGGAGGGAGGGGAGACAGCATGACAGACAGGGAGACACACCCTGTGTGTGTGTGTGTGTGTGTGTGTGTGAGAGAGAGAGAGAGATGCGCATTGCCCCTTTAAGTACGCTGATGCCACTCTTAAGTACATTGCCTTTTTAAGTAGATCAGCAAGTTGAGACTGCAGCTGCTGGCAGCAAGTTCCTTCTGTCCTGAGCCCTGTTGTGTTTCCCCGCTCTATGGAGATGGGGAAAGCGGAGAGCAGGAGCGGGGGGGAGGGAGGGGGACACCCTGACATTAGCCCCCCTCTTCTTCCCCCCTGCACAGCAAGCAGGAGGCTCCCGGGAGCAGCTCCAAGTCAGAGTGCAGGAGCAGCACATGGCCGTGGGGGGAGGGACAGCTGAACTGCTGGCAATTGATAGCCTGCTCGGCAGCTGTTGCATAGGGAACTTAGGGGAGCAGGGAGCTGAGTGGGCGGGGGGTGGGGGGGGCGCTGCCAGTCCACCCTGGTTCCAAGCCCCCACCAGCTAGCTCCAACAGGCTGCTCTTTCTGCAAGCAGTGGACAAAGCAAGTGGCTGCCAAACAACGTTATAAGGGAAGATTGTGCAACTTTAAACAAGCATGTTCTCTAACTGATCAGCAATGAAACAACGTTAACCGGGACAACTTTAAGTGAGGAGTTAATGTATGTGCCTAAAAGATGCCAGCGTCTGCATTTCAGTGACTCAGTATATGTATATAGTCTTCCAGAACTTGGAGATGATAAAGATGCTATATAAATGTGAAATATGGCTGATCGGATGTGCTTTCACAGAGGATAGATAAGTAAATATTAAAGGTTGATTCTTTGCTGTCTTGTTCTTCCCCCTTAAAATAAATTATAGTTTGTACAGTTCTGTCTTACCAGAGTAATGATGCTTTTAAAAAAAAAAAAAAATCAGTGAGATTTTAGGCCCCAATCCAACAGAACATTTAGGCATGTGCTTAAAATTAAGCACATAAGTAGTCCCATTTACTTCAACAGGACTACTCTTGTGCTTACAGTTAAACACATGATTAAATGTTTTGCTGGATTGGGGTTTAAAATCTCACTTGAAAAAATCCCTAGCTGTCATGGTAGTTTAGAACTGGAATAAATTGCCTAGGAAGGTTGTAGAATCTCTGTCTAACCTGCTCTTAAAAACCTCCAATGACAAACACCTGTCCGGGATGGGCTGATAACACTGGTCTACAATTTTTGAGAAGTCGTCTGCTTCAGAGATAAAATGTGCTATTTATTATGTATTTTGA